AAATTTGTTTTACAATTCAAAATTAAATAAATAAATAATAAGTTTTTAAATTTCAATCAAATAAAAAGGACTATTGTAATCAAAATTGATTTATGTCTAAGATGAACTACTAAAAACTAAGAAAAAATATAGATAAAACAAAAATGATAAAATTTAATATTATAAAATTGAAATAATCTCAAATTTCGATCATTTGAAAAAGTTTAAAACTCCAATTAATTTACAATATATAGAAGTACAATTTTTCAAAATGAAAGGCACAAATAGTATAGTTTAAGTTAAAAAAAATATAAAATTACCTTAAGGCTACCTTAAGGCAAAAAATATATTTTGGTGCAATATGAATTCAAAAAGTTAAATTTTCATTTTGATCCCTCTACTTTGGTAAAAAACCTCCTTTTAGTCTTTATACTTTAAAAAAACTCATTTTTGATCTCTAAAGTTTTAAATCTAACCCCTTTTTAGTTCTTCCGTTAAGTTTTCTATACGTGATATATTAAATAACAGAAATTTCAAAGTAAAAGGAGAAAAAAGAAGGTAAAAAGGGCTAAAAATAGGTCCAATTTGGTTCCTCTATTTTGAAAAAAGCCCCTTTTTGTCCCTTTCCTTTGAAATTTTTGTTATGTAATGTCAAATTTTAATTGAAAAATTAAATAAAAGATTGGATTTCAAACTTGAGGGATCAAAAAAGGGTTTTTACCAAAGTAAAAGGACCAAATTGAAGTTTTAACCAATTCAAAAACATATTTTTTAATACATAATGTAAAAAAATTTGGACACTTTATCCTCTAATCTAATTAACAAATACAACTTACATTTTACATTTCTTTAAAATAACTTTATCATTTTTTTTAACATCACTTTTTTTAATTTAAATGGAGTACAAAGGATATTTCTATCCATAAAATAATTTTATCATAAAAATAATTAAAAAAATACACAATATAGATATAAAATTGTTGCTAATTATAACTTTAAAAAATATTATTGTATTATCAAAAGTAACTAGAATTTTCTAACAAAAAAATTATTATAAAATTTAAGAGTTGATAAAATATAATATAAAATCTAAACTCTAATATGAAAAACTAAAACACAACCCGGACAAAAAAAAATAATTAACTTAAAGATTACAATTAAATAAAGGTTTGTTTACCTTGTGTTTAAAGAGTAATAATTAAGGATGTAATAAATATATCTTGATGTAATAAATATATCTTTTTATAATTAATTTATATAAAAAATTATAAAAATTGATATTTATTTTAACATCATTGACACAAAAATAATTTTAATTAATTAATTGATTAATTCAAATCAATATTACCATTTTCATGTAAATTAACTATAAAAAGTACATTAATTATATCCTTTAAGTTTAGAAAAACCCTTGAATAAAACAAATTTACCACCAAGTATGACTTTCTATTATTGTTACTCTAACACAAATAATTTTCTATTTCTAGAAAAAAAATTAATAAAATTGAATAATGGCAATAATGAGTTCCAATAATTAATATGGCTTTTTCTAAAGGCATAAGTTAAAGTCTTTTTTTTT